ATTTTGAAGGGGCTCGTACAACTCGTCCCAATCCATACATCCATCCATTTTGCAATTGGGCGTATTGTGTGCATAGCGGGGCGGGTTCTCAGCTGCGGGCTCTCATTTTGCCTTGCGCAAAAACATAAAAAGTGCGCGTGTGTACGTGACTTGTGAAAGAGGAACCCTGGTGGGACCCGTAGTCCACTTTGTCGGCAGTTCGAAACCGCCATCTTGTCTGAGGAGAAGTCTCAGAAAGCGGTAGGAGTCAGCATCGACTCCATTTTGTTGGGGCTCGTACAACTCGTCCCAATCCATACATCCATCCATTTTGCAATTGGGCGTATTGTGTGCATAGCTGTGTGTGCTGTATCATGGAGGGTGTTTGGAGGTGTGGGGACTTACTGTGGAAGTGTGTATAATAGTGGGGGGGTTGGGGGGAGTTTGGATGTGTGGGGATTTACTGTGAGAGTGTGTATAATCGTGGGGGGGATTGGGGAGTGTTTGGAAGTGTGGGGACTTATTGTGGGAGTGTGTAATAGTGAGGGGCTTTGGGGGTGGTGTTTAGACATGTGAGGACTTACTGCGGGACTTGTATAATAGGGGGGTTGTGTATGTGGGAGAGTACATGGGTGAATTGTGAGTATAGGGGAGTGGAAATGGGGGTGTTGTGTTGAGGTGGGAGTGTATATGTGCCCTCTTTTCAGGAAAAAAAACAGCCCCTTGTCAATTAAAGATGTGTACACTGTCCCATAATCTTGGGTAAAGTGTTGCTTCTGCTTCTGCAGGCCCCTGGATCCTTCCAGCGCCCCTCAGGGGGAAGGTAGCATCTCCCACTTGGGGAAACACTGGCCTAGAGGAATGACAGGTGTTACCGTGTGTGTGTGTGTGTGTGTGTGTGTGTGTGTGTGTGTGTGTGTGTAAAACATTACAAGGGGGTGGATAGGGCAAGCTATGGAGGGGTTTACTAAGTGGTTTAAGTTGGGGAATGTAAAAAGGATGATGTGCTTTGTAGACCCCTCACCTAATTCACAAAGTCAGTTTCAAAGACTGCCAGCCTTGGAAACCCAGTGGGTACTTCTGCTCTGTCCTGTCAGGGTGTCAAGCTGGACTCCCTGGCCAACAGTGGGGTTGGTTTTTGGAGTCATAGAAAGGGTGTAAGAGCAGCACAATAAGCTGCCATATTTCTGTCACCTGGATTCACCCATTGTCATGACCCCCAAAAGCCAACCCCACTGCTGGCCAGCGAGTCCGACTCTGGGTGTCCCCTTTGGGCAGTGGGGCAGGAGCCTGGGCTTTCTTGCAAATAGAACTCCCCGAGGTGCTTGAAAGCAGAAAGACTCCCAACTGTTTCCAGGTCACCTGGTGGCAGAAGCCAGTGGTCTTGGGTGGCAGGATTGGTGGGTGCAGGCCCAGTTGGCAGGCCTGGCCAGGAGAGCCTGGAGTTGATGAAGAACAGGGGCTGTGGGTTGGGGGAGTCCTGTTGTAGCGCTGAGCCTCTCATAATTGTGAGTACCTGTCAGCTTGTTGCAGGCCAGCCTCCAGGCGGCAATCTGCAGACAGCCCCCCTGTCACCCACCCTGCCACACTCAGGGTTGGGCTCTTAACCTCTGTCTGCCCTGCCCCTCTCCACTAGCAGAAAACAGGTTGGTCAGAGGCCAGGCTTCTGCCCCACTACCCAGAGGGGACACCCAGGGCGGAGTTGGGTGGTCAGAGACAGAGCTAGTGAAGCAGGAAGCTTCTAAAGGAAGGGGGGCGTGAGGAGCTGAGTGGCTCAGAGCCACTCGGATCTAGGGCAGGTGCCAAGGGGCGAGCAGACGTGGGAGGAGTTGAGAGGAGGAAGTCGGAGTTAAGAGGAGGAAGCCGGAGGGAGAGAGCCCGGGCGGTAATGAGGCCTGGTCCATTACCTGTGATGGTTGCAAACATGGCCAGATCTCTGCTTAGGTGGGCTTGACGTCTCCATGGTGTGGACAGACATGGAGACACAGAAGTACTAGCGGACAGGCAGGGCACCTGTGGGGCTTAGCAGGATCAGAGCAAGGGACAAACCTCTAGGGCACTAGTTGGTGAAGACTGCCTCCAGTTGAGAGGGGACCAGGTACACATGTGGGGTCAGAGGCACAAAGATACAGGCCCTGGGCAGGCTGCATGGGGTCTGGCACTGCCCTGGCTTGGTCAATAACTGCTGCTCTGCGTAGCCTCTGGAGCTAAGAGCACCGGGGGGGCCAGGGGTCAGGCTGGCAGCATAGCTGAGGGCACCCTTTTGGGCTTTTTCTTCCTGCAGAGACTGCCATTCATGGATATGGTGCCTGGCTGGCTGGAGCAAGGACTCGGCGCTGCATGTGGCATGGCTTATATGGGCAAGTACTTTGACAAGGCCAGGTAAGTGCTCACCTAGAAGTCACTGACTGTCCCCCACAAGGAAGTTTCACTCCGTTTGGGAAGACTGCTTCTCAGTCCTCAGCGCTGTGGCTTCTGCATCTCCAAGGCCGCTGGCGCCTTTCTCCAGCCCTTCTTGGGTGTATGCAGGGACTAGAGGAGAGCCTTGGCCCCACCTCCCTGGAGACCATGGGAAAACCCTTGAGAAATGACCCATCAAATAAACAAAAAACCCGTGCAGCTGTGACACTAGGAATAGCCCGCTTCTACTGCGAGAGGGCTGCTTAGGCGGTTTCCGCCTTTGCTGCCGGCAGCACCTTGGGTTCATGACACACGCACTTGATCTGGAATGGGCTATGGGTGGTTGTGTGCTTTTCAGAAACCTTACACTATTGCCAAAATTTTCGTGATCCTCATTCAGTTACATGGCCCCTTATGTGATTGCAACCCACTAAAGCTTTAGATTAAATGAGTCCTTAACTGGGAAAGATGTCAATTCTCAGTCCCATCCCGTGAAAGCCTCTAGGCTCCCTAAAGGCAAAACTGCTCTGTGGGTGGTCTGTGGGGTCGGGTCAGTAGTATGCAGAGCAGTTCAGGGAGCAGTTTAAAACCCAGAGAGGCAAGCAATGAACGTGCGTGACTGCAGAGCCTGTTATATAAACTTTCCTCCCATGCCATTCATGTTGTCAGATCCTAGAGTAGCAACAGAAAGAACTAGAACTAGCCTAAATATCTAATTTGACACAGTTGTGGGCTGTCAGGTAGGAAAACCTCCCCAAGGTTGACATCAGCCGTGCCACGGCCTGTCTCTGCTTCTCTCTCTGTGAGTTCTGTGCACATGGGCCAGCAAGCCCCAAGTCGGGTCCTCACCTCTCTTGGCTTACTCCAGCTACCGAGTCTACTGTCTGATGGGAATCAGCGAGGCCTCCGAAGGTTATGTCTGGGAGGCCTTGGCCTTTGCCTCCCACTACAACCTGGATAATCTCGTGGTCATCTTTGATGTCAACCGCTTGGGGCCGAGCAGCGCCCTGCCATTGGAGCAATGCACAGCTCTCTACAAGATGCGTTGTGAGGCCTTTGGGTAAGCAACACACACACACACACACACACACACACACACACCTCTCTGTCCCACCCCTTCAACTCCTGTAACCCTGTCTCCCCTGGTCAACAGGTGGAACACTTACATAGTGGATGGACATGACGTGGAGGCACTGTGCCAGGCATTTTGGCAAGCAACTCAAGTAAAGAACAAGCCCACGGCTGTGGTGGCCAAGACCTTCAAGAGTCGAGGGATTCCAAGTAAACCGCCATGTGCACTGGGGTTGGGGGACGTAGCACACTGCTTACTGGGTGAACATTAGCCATGCCTGTCCATGTACCAGATCTCAACCTGTCCAAGTCACTCAGAGCACTTAGTCTGGTGGTGCAGAGAAGGCCCATGGTCCCCCACTGCCGGGGCGCGGGGGGTGGGGGGGTGAGAGAACGACAATCTGAGACTGCTTCCTAGCAGTCAGATAACTGAGGAGTTGGGGAGAGCGGGTGTTTACAAGAGTTGCAGCAAGAAAAGAGTTGCTTGTGGAGATAATACCTCCCTGATGCCGCATGGGCCAGTCAGGGAGGGCAGGAGCTGTTAGTATGCCCAGTTGGTCTGAAGTGGACACAGGATGGGGAGTGAGTTTGAGATGGCTGTGGAAGAGCCACTTGAAGGCCTCAAATGTAAATCAACGTCGGTGTTTTTACACTAAGCCCCAATGCCCCCACTTCCTAAAGTCCTTTCTGTGAGGTTCAGTGTAGGCCCAGGCTGTCAGGACTCGCTCCTGTCATCCTGGGAACCAGGTCAAGAGCTGGAACTCCGACTTCCTTTCCCCCAAGCCTCCCCCTGATGCATTCAACTGTTTCTGCCCAAAGTCTTCTGAAGAGTCAGCCGGGCATACCTCTTGGTCACAATTGCAGTTAGAACAAAGGCTTCCCTGAGACTAGTGGCAACGGGTTTACAAATGCTGCCAGGTTGAGTTGACAGTTGATCAGAACGGTGCTCAAGGGATCATTACCGTTTTGCTAAATCATTCTGAGCTGAGCGGTCATGCTGGAATTGCATTTCATGCCACTGCTCTCAAGCCTAACCCTGGAGTTCATTTCCCAGGCTTAAAATTGCCTGCCCCTTGGTACCAGCTGTATGTATTTGACACTATACCTTGAATGGCTCCCAGCTGCCTCATAGCCACCCTCTGTTCACCTGACGACCCTGAGAAAATGGTCTTGCTCTAGTGTGCCTAGTTCAATAAACTCTCGGGTCCCTGGTGGTATCGTGGTCACACATCAAGCTGTAGTCTGCAAGGTTAGCAGTTCAAAACCAACAGCTTCTCCAGAGGAGAAAGGTGGGACTGGGCTTTTCTACTTTAGTAAAGAGTCCCAGTCTCAGAAACCCACAGGGGCCAGTTTACCATGCCCTGTAGGGTCGATGTCCTCGGCATGGACTTAATAGCAGTAGGCGTTTGCTTGGGGCGTGCACCTGGATATCACTGCTTTCAGTCTCTCCCTTCCCCCCCCCACCAATCCACACCAATCCACACACAACCTGAGTGTCATCAGAGTGGATAGATTTCTGCCTCTTAACTATAGGTCAGAACTGCTCACTCCATCACATCTCTGCCCACTTAAGCCCTGGCCTGGCCCTGCAGCCTGACTGACCACAGTCTCTTCAGAAGTTTCCCATCTTGCTTTGGATACAACAGAACCCTTTTATCAAGCCCACAGATCTGCCCCCTTGCCTTCCTGCCCTCTCTTCCCATCCGCTGCATGTACAGCAGCACCCCAGTCCCGCTGCAGCAGCATCGGCCTCCCCTGAGGCTCAGGTGGCACAAAGCTGACTGAGGCTCCTTTTGTTGCAGACATTGAGAGTTTGGAAAACTGGCACGGGAAGCCAATGCCGAAAGAACGAGTGGAGGCAATTATCGAGCTGATTGAAAGCCAGATAGAGACCAACCAGGACCTGGTGCCCAAGCCCCCAGTGGCGGACTCGCCTCGCTTCAACATCGAGGAGGTGATCATGACTATACCTCCTGCCTACAACATCGGCGACAAGGTAGGCCCTGAGAAATGGGTAATAGTGTAAACGCTGCCCATCTACAGCTTTGTTCCTGGCTTTCCTTCCTAAATACATAGCATTCTTCATGTATACTGATGGCCACAGGGGGGGGGGGGAGTATATGGATAATAAATAGTAATGAGTGACTTAGCGTCTCTTATGATCTATCAGTTCTGAACATGAGTCCAGTGAGACACTACCCCTGCCTACAGCCTTTGAGGTTCCCACGCTCATGTTGCTAGCTTGCCTCCTGATCGATCACAGCCCTGTGGTGGAGGGAAACATTCCGACCCCTCTTGGAGGTGGGGTGGCGTTTTGAGTGTGGCTGTTGTTTCCTTAGCCTCTTAACGTGGGCAGTAAAGCAAGCCTGCCAAAGGAAACTTCATAGCTTTACCTCTAACAAAAAAGAAACACTAGAAATAGAGGTATCGAAAATTTCATAGCTTTACTCTAACAAAAAAGAAACACTAGAAATAAAGGTATTTGGCACTCAAAAAATTAATCCCACATTGGGCCCCTTTTCAAAGGGTGCTTCAATAATGTGAGCACCATACATGTTCATAACCTTGGAACTAGCAGGGCGACACCCAGGACTTTCTGTGATCAAAGTGGGAAACGGTCCAGGAGAGACAGAGCACTGGCTCTCTCGAACTAGAAGACTGTGGTGACACCCCGTCCCCGCTGTTCCCCTGGTTGTGGCCAGGGGCCTGAATTTCCTCATCTGGCCATGGGCTCTGAGGTATGGTAGGCAGTGGGTGTGCAAGAAAGGCAGGCTACTACTATGGTCAAGTTGGGGCCATACTGACAGGGAAGGGGCAGAGTACTGAATGCTATCCTTTTAAATGTTACAAAGCAACATAAAGAGTATAATTCTATTTTCGCATGCAAACTTTTAAAAGGTATTATTATATATTGGCATACAGCTTCAGGTAGTGTATTTTGAGAAATTGTTCCGAGTCACATTTATAAAAGGCAGAGGAATTATGAGAACTTCTGATTTATTTCCGTTATTATTAAAGCATATGCCTTTTATGAATAGGAAAGCCAAAGAAGCAGGTCAGTCCATCCAAAGCTCATTAAAACGAAAAAGCTGCATCTGCTTACAAAACACCGTGTGCTAGTTCTCTGTAAGTGCTAGCTCGGCTACTCCAGGTGTTAGAAACCACAGCTATATTGAGTAAGCCATTAGAAAGGGGACACTGCCCCAGATGTAGAGGAAAAGGCACAAAGGAGCAAGCCGAACACAACTCTGCTCAGGGAAGGACTATTGTGTGTGCTCGGCTCCCAGAGGTCAGAAAACCAAAGTCAGTCTGTTAAGTGAGGACGCTGTTAAAGAGCTCTGTCTCCCAAGTTCCAGGCTCACTCAGTGACCAGAGCAGCTTATTTTTAACCTTCAAGGGACTAGTAATTCCTAAACAGCTTCAAACATTTCCAAATAAGGAGAAAACCCCAAGCCTTACAAATCATCTGGGGCGTCCGAGGCTGACAAAGGGAGAGAGCTAGAGACCAGCTGCACTTGAGAACAGGACTGCTCAGAAGCCTAATAGCAGTTTATCTCAGCACCACTGGCATGGAAGTCAAGGATTAGCTGGCTCAGTACAGTCCGGATGAGTGACCAGAAACCCTTCAACTGGAGGATACCGGGTCATGTGACCCACCATCTGCTCATGAAGGAAGCAGGACAATCACAAAAGCCCGCCTTCATTCCTAGTTTGTCAAAAAGCTGGTGAGGTTTTCCTCACCGCAATGCTCACTCGAGGTCTAGCTAGCTTCGTCCTGCAACCCCCTTCGTGCTGAAAGGTCAGGGCCTTCTCAATGAAAGCTGTAGAAGCGCTAGCCAACACGGTTCAACTAGAGGGGAGACTCCCTGTTGGCAAGGGAGGCAAAGCCAGGAGGTAGCGTTTGTAGGGAATACTCAGGAATCAGCTGGATATGGTTCAGAATGAGAAAGTACAGTAAGACAACTTATACCAAAATTGACATGAAGATAACGAGCTGCAGCTAATTAGCAGATGACCCGGAGAGGAGAGTTGCTCCCTTTTGGAGCTCCCATACAAATTCAATGCAGCAACTGAGAACTCCCTGAGATAAATACACACACACACACACACACACACACACACACACACACACGAGTCTTTAAGAGACTGGATGCGCCTCAGCCGCCTGGAAGATAGCCACCCCTTGTGGAACACACATTTGTGAAATTGTGGGGGGTCAGATCGCTTAGCAGTCCTTGGTGCCCCAGTGGAGGTTAGTGGTGATATACAAATGCACATTCTTCCCCAAGGCAGCTGGCACTTTGTAAAACACAGCCATGGCATGAAACTCCAGTGGGCTCTTCTTTTCCAGGTGACCACTAGGAAAGCCTACGGCCTGGCTCTGGCCAAACTGGGCCATGTGAACAACAGAGTGATTGCCCTCGACAGCGATGCCAAGAATTCCACCTGCTCAGTGATCTTCCAGAAAGAGCACCCAGAGCGTTTCGTTGAGTGCTTTGTTGCGGAGCAGAACATGGTGAGTGAGCTGGACACCCACCTCCCAGCATTCCCAGTTTCCATCCCACCTGGGAAAGCAGAAGACAAGTCTCCAGGGAAGCAGGGGACAGAGCAGAGTTTGAGCCTGGATAGTGGCCTAGTGAATGAAGTGCTATGAGCAATGCACCTAGACCACCCCGTGTCAGAAATAATCACTACTGGGGCCAGGAGTGCTTGCCTGCCCAGGGAACCAGGACAGGGGGAGATTTGCTAAGAATTGCACAGGTCACCCCAAAGCCGGGGCACTGCACCTAGACTGGGATGGGCCTCAGCCTGGAGGTGTCTAGAAGTGTGTGAGCCCAGGGCTCCTGCATCACTCAGTACCTCCAGTTGGCCCTGCTCCTCCAGCCAGCCCAGTCCAGTCCACGGCCAGCCACAGAACATTGGTTCTCAGTGGAGCCCAGCTCAGGGCCTAGCACTAAGCAGATATGCAGATGCAAGTCACTGGAGCTGTGGTCTGGGGTAAATCTGGCCCTTCCCAGTGCCTTAGTCTCCCCCAGGAGTGAAGTTAATGTGGGAATCTCCCTCTTGATTTCTCTCTCGCTTTCTCCCCTCCTTTCTGCCCTTTCCCCTATACTCATGCCCACTCTGGAATACACATGCACACGCACATACACATACACCTGCCTTCCAAGATAAGTACTTGCTTAAAGCATCAATCAGATAGCATCAGGTATCTGTCTAAAAAAGACCCACACAGATGTCAAGCAGACAGACCCTGTGGAGAATAGAGCGTCGGGACTGGGCTGGCTCCTGAGTAGGCCGGAAACAGGGCTTACAGTGGGGCGGGCTCACGAGGGCACCCACAGGGCATGTTGTGAGTGCTAGAAACCCCTACCTCTTGCACATACCCGTGGGCAGAGACCTCTCCTACAGGGTCCTTCCCTCCTTATTGAAAGCCCTTATTCTGCCAGGTCACTGGGGAGTGAACCATTTCTCCCTCATCGACAAGGGGTAGGGGTGGGGTGCCATCCAGTCTGTACCCTCATCCAGTGTGCACCTGGGTCCAGCCTGAGAGGTGAGTGGGCAAGGAGGGCATCGATGCCCAGATAATTCCCTGGTTGGTTGTGAGGGAGCTGAGTGTCCGTCCTTGTCCGCTGCCCCAGCAGCTCTAGCTAGGGGTGCCCCCAGTGCTTTTGGCCCAGATGCAGACATGAGGGTGTGCTCTTGCACGTTCAGTGACCAGTGGGAGCCCAGCCCCAGGTGACGTGCAAAAGGGAATGCTAGTAAGGCAACTGCAGTGAATTCTAGGTAGCGAGTTCTGCCTGCGTTTTGCAAGCAATATTTATGTATAGGAAATGTGGTAGGTTAGCCATTAAAATGCTTATAATCCAGTTTATCTCACTCACTAAAAGGGCATAAGCTCCTTTATAATCGGCCAGTCCTGTGGTTGCATCATGGCCCATAGAGCCACACATCGCAGCACACACCTACAAAGTGCTTTGCCCCCGCCCTCCACCTTCCCACCGCCCCAGTGAGACAGCTTCCAGGAGGCATGGGCCAGCAGGCTGCTCTGACCACCAGAGACATTTTATTTGAAACGGATATTTCTTCAGAGGTATTTAAACTAAGGAGATTGTGCTAACAATCCACATTTTTGACGCCTCATGAAAAACAGAACGGTCTAGCCACCCTGGCCTGCCATCCCCTCCGGAGCCAGCCACCACTGTCCCAACACTCCACCGGCCTGCCCACCACTGACACGCTCTGCCTGGCCCTGGCGGGGCCACCTTGTAATTTGTGGGGTCTGTCATAACCAGTTTTTCGGCAGGCCTCATTAAGCAGTTTGCATTCTGTATGGAAGAACACATACCCCGTAATGTCCTGATTTGCCCCCCTCCTCTTCACCTTCGAGAGCCTGGTATTATTCATTGGACTGCTAACCCCCAGGTCAGCAGTTCAAATACACCAGGCACTCCTCGGGCAAAAGGTGAGGCTGTCTGCTGTCCTGAAAACTCCCAACCTCAGAAACATGGGAAGTTCGGCCCTGCCCTGTTGGGTTGCTGTGAGTCAGAGTAGACCCGGTGGCAGTGAGTTCTTGACCCTCCACCCACCCCCAGGAGCTGGGCTTGCCCAGCTGGGAGGCAGGGGAGCAGAGACAGAAGAAAGGGAGTTGGCCAGGGCCACTTTGGAGGCTGATCCCTGTCCACAGCAGGAGCAGGCGCAGGAGCAGTCCCTCCTCGGCACCGGCAGAGAAGAGCTCGTTTCACTGAGGCTCCTGTTATTTCCAAACCGCTTCAGAGCATCACCCTTTCCTCTGAATGGGGCTAGACAGTACTTCTAGGTTCTGAGGAAGTGCTCATGGAGGGCCATTCTCCTAGGAAGTACCATAAGTGGGTGGGAGCAGAAGGACTTAGGTTATCGGCATGTCATGCAATTCCTAGTTAAAAGCTAAAAATTCACAGAATGGTGTTTCGTGAAAAGTTGCTTGAAAAAAGGTAGTTGAAGGAAATCATTGGAGACCACCTGATTTGCAAAGGGCCTGACGCTCCAGTTATGGAGTGGATGACTTTCTTAGCACTGCTGGGATCATTTCAAGCACCCTTGATGCAGCCTCTGTAGGCATTGTATTCCAGGCAGTGTGTCAGGTACCAGACCAGTTGGATGCCCATGAGTGAGCCTTTCAGGAGCTAGGTTACAGAAAGGTGACTGTTCAGGAGCCTGGCAGGAAGGCTGACCACAGCGCCTTTCTCCGACAGATAACTGCAGGCCCACAGCCTTGGCCTGCTGGCATCTTTGAGTGTGGCATTCCAGGGGCTACTCAGCACCAATGATGGAACTGTGGGGCCAGTATAACAGCAGAAAACCAACCAAACACTCTACCATCGAGTCCAGCCTGACTCACAGGACAGGGTAGAACTTGACTGGAGTCGAGAGCTGCATCTTTCTCCTGTGGGGTGACTGACAGATTAAAATTGCTGACCTTGTGGCTAGCAGCCCGAGCTGTCACCCACTGGGCCACCAGGGCTCCTGATGCCGACTCATGGCGGCCCAGTGTAGGGTTTCTGAATCCCTCGAGTATTATGGGAGCAGACCGGCAGCCTCTTCTTTGCTCGCAAGAGTGGCTGATGGGTTTGAACTGCTGTGCTACTGGATGTGGTGTCCTGGAGAGGGTGTGATGCTGAGAGGTCAAATGAGGTAGAAAGGTGGGTGAGGCAGCTGCTTGCACTTGGTGGCTCAGAGGTAGGCATGGGAGTGCAGGAGGAGGAGGCTGGGCCAGCGATGGAGGACAGGGACACCACCTGCACACAGCTCTTCCCTAAGGTTTTCTGGGAAGGGTTAACATAGATGGGGGATGACGATCTCACGAGGATGCCAGTGTGCTGACAAAGCAGGGTGGGAGGGTTAAGATGGAAGCTACAAGAACCTATTTGAATGGTGTTAAGAGTGGCCCAACAGGAAGGAGAGGTAGTGAGAGCATTAAAAATATCTTTTAATCCGTGTTCTTTGTGTTGTAGGTTGGTGTGGCCCTGGGCTGTGCCGTACGTGGGCGAGCCATCACCTTTGCCAGCACCTTTGCTGCCTTTTGGGCCCGAGCCTTTGACCAAATCCGGATGGCTGCCATCTCAGAAACCAATGTCACCCTTGTGGGCTCCCACTGCGGCGTGTCTGTGGGTACGCATGCACACAGGGAAGGGCTGTCGTGGGCCCTGAAGGCTCAGATCAGAAAGTCCTGTTGGCCCAAGGGAAGCAAGAATGCTGGCTGGACAGAAGAGTCTGCTTAAAGTAGCCCCTGTGGGGGTGGGGGTGGGGTGGCTGGCTGGCTGCTATTTGCTGGAGAAAAGGAGTCCTCAGGGAGTCAGGAGCCAGGATGATGCTGAGGCAGACTAGCCTGGCGATGACTGCAGGAAGAGCTCCACCCCAGAAGTGCCTGCCTGTCTCCATGAGGGGGGAGGTGTGGGCCAGATGGGGACTTTGGGAAGTCCTGGGTGAAGGGAGGTGCAGACTCCCAAGTTAGTGGTGTAGCAGCTTTTCAGAATGGCTGAGGAGGAGCCAGCCCTTGAGGAGACCTGGCTCTAGGTTCCTCCTGGAAACTTGCCAGGGTGCAGAGATGGGACAGGTGTCCTCGGCCAGCCGTGTACTGTGACAGTTCCCCCGCCCCTGAGGAAAGCTATGTTACCTTGGGGTACACCAGCAATGATGTTCTCACACATTCTCCACCCTTGTGACAGCAGCCACTCGGGCTGCCTCAGTATAGCTGATCACCTGCTGGCCGGAGCAGGCTAAGGCGGGCTGGGTCTGGGGGAGCCCAGGGCTGCAGCAGATGGGCCTCTGGGAGGGACAATGTGGAGTATGCACCTCTGGGTGGAAAGCGAATGAGGAGAGGTGCTGGGCATTTGTTTCAGATTAAGTCACACTAAGTACACACTTGTTACTCCCAGGTGGGGCTTTGCCCCCCACCCCCGGTGCTCAGGGTGTTGGGGGTCTGTGTCCTGGGTGGGTGGCAGTGGGAAGGGTCCACTGTCTGAAGCATTCCGGTTTTGTTTGGTGTTTGCTCAGGGGAGGATGGGCCCTTGAAGATGGCCCTGGAGGACCTCGCCATGTTCCGAGTCATTCCAAACTGCACAATTTTCTATCCAAGTGACGCCGTCTCCACAGAACATGCTGTTTATCTGGCCGCCAACATCAAGGTATGTTTTCTGGGAGGGACAATAGAACCCTTACAGATAGTAGTACAGACATACTAGCATGGTCGGGGTCATCATACAACAGTTTGGGGAGTCTGAGCCATGGACAAGAAGCGGAGGGGTGGGGAGATGGGAACTAGAAACTGCCACAAACCCACTGGCTGCCTGTTGTTATGGGGGTGCATCCTGACTGGAGCCTATCTGCACCTTTCCTGGGGGCTTCAGAACAGAGGCCACCCCCACCCCTGTACTGTGTTCACGTCCCCACACAAGTGACTGACCATAGACAGGGAGTATCAGGCCAGTTTACTGCCTAACCGTTGGTTGGCATTCTGAGTGCAGGTCATTCAAAAACCTCAATGGAATACACAAAGATCAACCTTGTGAGTGCCAGTGAGCTGAAATGGGGGCCTTAGGGGCTGACAACGTTCTCTTCAACCTTGTTCATGGAAGACTGTCCAGTCTTGGCTTCTTGGTTGGAGGCTAGGGATTAGAAATTAATCGTCTGCTTGCTATCGCTCCCCCAGGGCATGTGCTACATCCGGACCAGTTACCCAGAGACCTCAGTCATTTATTCCTCTGAAGACCGCTTTGAGGTTGGCCAGGCCAAGGTAGGGACCCGCCACCATCCACAGGTCACCCCCAGGAAACAGGAACCAAACACTTCTCTTTGCCACAATCTCCCTTCGGGGAACTTATTACACTCTGCTAGTACTAAGCAAAAGGCTGGTGAGTTGCTCAATTACCCCTGCCTTTGAGTTGACTCTGCCTCCCGGAGAACCTAGGTGGAGGGTAGACCTGCCCCTGTGGCTTTCCCAACCTGGAACTCTTGACGGCCTCTTTGACGAGCTCACTGACGACCCAGTGTGTGCTCAGCGGTGGGGCTTCCAGGTGGCTCTCAGAAGGCGCGCAGACCACTAGGCTGGCAGGTGCCCTTGGCCCTCTCCTGAGCTAGCTTCTCCCCACCCTGTGGCTTCGGCTACAAAGTGGGCCCGAGGGTGCATGTTCCTTCAGGGAGGGTCCCTGTGGGTGCCAGGTCAGAACCAGAGCCCTCCCTGTGAGCACGCAAGTCAATCCAAGGGGCCTGGGGACATTTGTCCAGTTGGAGGCATCCATGGGCCCTGCAAATGATGGGCCTGTAAGACTTCTAGGGTGGGTGCCGGGGCCAGCATGATGCCAGAAGCCAGCTGGAGGGGTTCCCATACTTTGCTTTTCGGCTGCTCTCCCAGGTGGTCCGCCAGAGTGCTGACGACAAGGTCACAGTCATTGGAGCCGGGGTGACACTGCACGAGGCCTTAGAGGCTGCTGATGAGCTTTCCAAGGAAGGTCGGTTGGTGACTGTGGCTCCCAACTTGGGGATGGAGGGGTATGGGCCGCCCCAGTTTCAGAGTTCCCTCCCTTTGGGCTCCTGTTACCCGAGGCGGCTAAGGAACCCTAGGCTCTTGCTCCCCAGGTATTGCCATCCGTGTCATCGACCTGTTCACCATCAAACCCCTGGATGCCGCCACCATCATCTCCAACGCGCATGAGACTGGTGGCCACGTAGTCACCGTGGAGGACCACTACAAAGAAGGTGGGCACAGTTCCAGGGTGGCTTTCCCTGGGTTGCAGATGTGCCATCGCCTCCAGTCCCCCACCCTGCTGGAACACCTCTGGGAAAGCGGTCTGCATGGTTACTGACTGAGGGAGGGGTCTCACAGGCCCTAGAACAGGTCCCCTGGTCAGCAGTTTATTTTGAATGCTGAGTGGTGACATCTTTGGAGCTAGTGCCCTGCAGGCAAGAGAACCCCCACAATGTACCTGGGAAGGATAGACACGGTCACCCCCACAGTTTCCACCCCACCCCCACTCCCATCCCCAGGTTGCCCTCTCCCACATCAGGAGATGCAGTCACCTGGGCAGAGTGTGCCCACAGGAGCCCTGGAGGGACTCGGTGTCCAGCATGTTGCTCATGGGTACTCACTCTGCCTACCACCACCCCTGCCCAGAAAACCAGAAGGAAAGCTATCAGCACAGGGTCCCCAAGTATCAGTTGGGGAGCATGCGGTCTACGCAGAGGGTGCGCTGTGTGACCTCATAGGCTGTGAGTGGCATTTACCACTCTGGGGTCCTTGACAGCTGTAGGTGAGAGAGTGGGGAGGACGGGGAGCTGCAGTCTCCTTAGCCCCCTCAGCCAGTCTGAGAGTGATGGTCTGTGTGAAGTCTTTTGAACAGCAAGGGCACCGGGCTCAGTGTCTGGCACAAAGGTCAATGGGCACCTATAGAGCAGCCCTGATGGCTCTCCTGCTTTCCCAGGTGGCATTGGGGAAGCCGTCTGTGCTGCTGTCTCTATGGAGCCTGGCATCCTGGTCTACCAGCTGTCAGTGTCAGGAATCACTTCCAGCGGGCCACCCAGCAAGATACTGGACAAGTTCGGGATCAATGCCCACTGCATTGTGGCGACCGTGCACAGCATCATCATGAACCAGATCATCTGAGTCAGGCCACAAGTGGCTCAGCTGCCAGGGCCCTTGGGCGCTAACATCTTTATACTGCATTCAAGTTTGTTAGAAATCTAGCTTAATCATACAGTTTAAAGCAAATCTGATTGATGATACCCTAATACATTCCTAATCCA